TGTGCTTCCCTGGTCTTCCGGACTGTGTCCCACCCTTCTCTTTATGCTGTGATACTATATGAGGGTACTTCACAACGTTCACGGAAAAATAGAACTAAAAGAAAATGCAAATCTTTCCATGAACGTTTTGAAGTTCCCTCATATGTGTGGCCTGTTTGATGCCATGCCTGGAGCATGCCTGTCTCTGTAATAGATGCTCAGAGGATCACAGACAGGCATCTCATTAATTTAGCGAACATAGAGAACGCTCCTAGCAGAGAGACTTGCACAGATTAGGTGCTCAGCCAATGCCAGATCCCTTCCACCCCCTCCGGTGCTGGGTAACATTGACACTGGACCCCATGGACAGTCCACTTGTCAAATTGTGTTGAAATATGTCTCATACTTTTTTTTAACCATCTAAAGTTGTTGAAAATAAAAGACCTTTTTTTGGTTGTCGGTATTTGAGAGTCACTGTATATTCACCTTAAAATAACTGTCAGAAGAATGTGATCCAGAAGATGCCATCGTTTCTTTGTGACAAAGTCACACCTCAGCAGACCTTACAAGGCCTTTACCTAATTTAAATCTCAGCCAAGTCAATATGTAAACAGAAACTGAGTTTTGAATAGAACCTGAAATTTCTCAGAACCATGAAGGCAAATGGTCTGTAGTTGGCAACATAATGGTCCCCAAAGATGCCCACATCCTACTCCCCAGAACCTGTGAATATGTTACCTCATGTGGCAAAAGGGAATTAGTTTTTCAGATGGAATTAAGATTGTGTTATGCATTGAATTGTATCCTCTGAAAAAGATATGTTAAAGTCCTAATCCCCAGTATCTCAGAATGTGACCTTACCTGGAAATCAGGTCATTGAAGATACAATTACAGACTGTCCCTAACTTAGGATGGTTCAACTTCTACACTTTCTCAACTTTTCAATGGTGCGAAAGCAATACACACTCAGTCGCAACCGTACTTCGAGTGCCATCCATTCTGTTTTTCACTTTCAGTGCAATATTCAATAAATTACATGACATATTCAACACTTTATTATAAAATAGCTTTGTGTTAGGTGATTTTGCTCAATCATAAGCTAATGTAAGTGTTTAAGGTAAGCTGGGCTAAGCTATGATGTTTGGTACATTAGGTGTTTTAAATGCATTTTCAACTTACAGTATTTTCAGCTTAGGATGGGTTTATCAGGACATAACCCCATCATAACTTGAGGGGCATCTGTAGTTAAGATGAGCTCATCCTGAGTAGGTTGGACCCTAATCCAGTATAACTGGTGTCTTCATAAGAAGACAGCCGTACAGGGACACAAACACACAGAGAGGACACCATGTGTAGAGGCATGAAAGTAGGGGTTGGAGCAATGCTTCTAACAAGCCAAGAAACACCAAGGATTCCGGCCTTTACCAGAGCCTTGGAAAGAGGTACAGAATTGGATTTCCCGGAGCCCTCCAAAAGAGCCAACCCTGCTGACACTGTGATTTTTGACCAGCAAATCAGACCTTACTGCTGACCTTCAGAACTATAGAATTAGAAACCTGTATTGCTCTGAGCCACTACGTTTGTGGTCGTTTGTAACAGCATCAATAAAAAAAAAAAAAAAAAAAAAAAAAAAAAACACAGGATCTCATATAGTCACCGAGATGCCCAAAGTGTCTCACTACAGTGACACAACTTGAAGTGTATGCAGAGGAGCTGAGTCTGTGCTGGACAGAAAAGGAAATCGAGTCCATTCCGACTCCCTCAGAGGAACGGGGGAAAGGGCAACCTAAGTTAGAGACGTGTAAACTGTGGCTTCCTAAGGAATTACAGTTTTATGGCTTTTAAGAAGAGCTGGGAACTCACACGTGGCTAATAAATGTTGCTGTTAAGGTTTTTAGGGGACACAAGTGGGGAAAAAAAAAATAAGGCTCAATCTGTAATCGTAGTATAAATTGTCTTACGAAACTGTAGTTCCTTTCCTAAATTCCCAGGCATGGAATTGATGGGATTTTACCATAATGTTAAGTAGTACAATGTTGTCAAGTGTTGTCAATGGGGTGCCTGCAGCCAGAGTTGTTCAGGTGACATGGTTTCTTTGAGCCACCAAAAAAAAAAAAAAAGGTTTAAGAAAGTCATTTTCATCCCATACCTCACTGAGGTCTTTGTCAAGATTAGGAGCAAAAAGTCTAGCTGAAAAGCAACTAAAATAAACTGCACAGTGTCTGTGCATGTGGTGCAGCGTCCTGTCCTGCATGTCAGGCGTGGACGGGTGCTGCCAGCAGGAATGCTCTGCAGGTACTGGGGGTGGCACGAAGCCCGGGACTGCCCTCTCTTGCCTCAGCTTTGGCTGCCTGGGACTTGGGAAGTGCTTCGCTGTTTTGCCTTTTTTTTTTTTTTAACCTCCTCACTACTGCTTCTAACCATCCACTGCCATCACCTGTGTTTTTATTTTTGTTTTTTTAATTATGTTTTTAATTATGGGTTTTAAATTTTATGTTATGTGCTAAAGTGCACATAACATAAAATTTACCATCTCAACCATTTTTAAGTGTGTAGTACAGTAATGGAAACTGTATGCACATTGCCGGGCCACCATCTCTGCTGTTCATCTCCAGGACTTTTCACCTTCCCAAACTGAAACTCTGTCCCCATTGCACAGAAACTTCTCATTCCCCCTGCCCCCAGCCCCTGGGAACCACCCTTCTACTTTGTCTCTATGAGTTTGACAACTCTATGAACCTCATCGGAGTGGAATAACACAGTATTTGTCCTTTTCTGACTGGCTCATTCACTTAGCATAATGTCCTCAAGGTCCACCCATGTGGTAGCATGTGACAGAATTTCCTTCCTGTCCACATTCCTCTTGGAGTCTCTTTCCCTGCAGATCTGACTTTTCAAGTCAGCGATGGGGCAGAGGTATGGGGGGTGTATACCTCCCAGGTGGGGGCTGCTGAGCTCAGTCAGTTCTTCTCCATCCCCAGTGACTCTCCGGATGTGACCTCTGTGTGGACCAGAATTACCGCCCGCATGCACTGGAGCACATGCACTGGCCATGTGCCCGGGAGTGAGGATGCATCCTGTGGCTAGCAGCATGCACCCCCAGGCAGGCGACACGCCCATGAACATGACACAGCCGTCCCACTTCTCAGGCTCAGCCCTGGAAGCACAGCAAATACAAAAGACAGGAGTGGGTTAAAAGCTATTTTCACAGCTGGGATCAGCACAATAGCACCAGACATATCCCACCCTCAAGCCTGACATTTATATTCACAGAGGCAATTATAAAAGTGTGGGACAAAGGAGATCTGGCCGGGGGTCCATTCATGAGAGAGAAAAAAAAGGGGGTGGGAGGTTGGGGAGAGCTAGCAGAGGTGTAATCTGACTGCTTAAAATTATAAGAATAGTGCAAAGTTGGGCAGCGTTAATGAAGACAGAGCCTCATTTAAAAAGAGAGAAAATCATCGCATTCTCTCCTGCTGCTTTCATACCACATCTGGGCTGTTTTATTCATTTTAAGAACAGTAGTGACTTATAGAGAATTAGAATTAGGATGGGAAGGATTGAGAATCCATGTTACTCCAAAGACCAGAACTAGGAGAAATGCGTAGAATTCAGTTCAATTCCTTTAGTGTTGTTTGAGCAGTTGCGGGTGCTGAGATGGGAAAGTCACACGCTGCCCTCAGGGGGCTCGCCACCTGCGACCAATGAGACAATAGCAATGGTGATGAAAGTTATACAGGTGCATGCCAGACGCTGTTGTAAGCAGTTTACAGGCAATCTGTCACTCATTCTCACAACCACACCCCAAGGTATGCACTGTCATTTCCATCCCATCATGTAAGCAGTGGGTCCGATAAGGAGCTTCACTAGCTGGAACTGGAGATGAAGAGACAGTTGGCACCCTGCTGCCAATGGGAAACGCTGCAGTCATTTCTAAATGGTAGCATGGCGTGGTCCAGTTTGGCTTCAGGTGGAATTCAGGACTCTTGACTAATGAGAAAGAACCGAATGGCTGCCAGAGCAGCCATGCACGGATCGAGCTGCCTTGTCAAGTGGGGTGCTCTGAGAGCTAGAAATGTTTGAAGGGGGACAAGAGTGAGGGCAAAGCTTGCCAGCCCATCCAGGGACCAAGCAGGAAAGTGTCCTTTAGTTACCACAAAGGTCATTCACAGCCCCATTTGTGTCCTGAGGAACCGTAATTTCCAAACTGCACAGCTGCTTACCACACCCTGAGGCCAACACACACTGACAAGATAGGGATCATTGAAACATTAGGCAGGTAGACCAAGATTTAGAAGAGGACTTTCAGACTGACAGCCTCAACAGCCTAGTCTTCCCAGGACCCACAAGTTGTCATCATCGAGAGTCACAGTTGCCATTCTGGAGGGCCTACACTCTGGAAATCAGGGAGGACCTGGTCCTGGTATATTCAGGCTGGGACTGTAGGGTCCTTGGCAAAGGCTTATCAGTCAGTTATTGCTGCAGTAACAAACAGCCCCGTGTCTCCGTGGCTTAGGTCTGTGTCATGTCGTGTCATTACAGAGCTCAGGCTGTAGGAGCATCCCCTGTATTGGGACCTGCTGTTCTCACAGCAGGGAGAAGGAAACAGAGAATGAGAGCCAAACCATATAACCACATTTGAAGCTTCTGCTGGAACAGGGCCAGTATCATGTCTACTTACACCCCATTGAACAAAGCATGTCCTGTGACAACAGGCAGGATATATAATCCCACTACAGGGAGGAGTGACTGGTTGGGAACGATAACTCGATCTGCCATAGCGGTTTTGTGTGCAGAGCTTTCTGTATTGAGGAGGACTTTGAACCAGATGACCACTCAGGTCACTCCCTGTGCCCCAGTACTCTGGAACTATTTCCACAGTTCCTTGCAAAGTTCCCTGAGTCTGTCTCCTTCCCTCCCACCATAGGTTCCCAATTCCGTGATCCTTCTGGACGGCCCTCTGGGGAAGCCAGCCTCTCCCCACAGTTCTTCTCTCACTGTCTTTTTTCCATTCTGGGCAGATGGGTGGCAGGCCCATGGAGCCCCTGCTCAGCGACCTGTGAGAAGGGCGTCCAGCATCGAGAGGTGACCTGCGTGTACCAGCTGCAGAATGGCACACATGTCGCCACCCGGCCCCTCTACTGCCCAGGCCCCCGGCCAGCGCCCGTGCAGAGCTGTGAAGGCCAGGACTGCCTGTCCATCTGGGAGGCATCTGAGTGGTCCCAGGTGGGTACCTGAGCTTGCCATTGGGGCAGGAATCACCATGGGGCCTCCAGATCTCATCCACAGGAACCCCAACATGATACCTTTTGCTCATGGTGCCTGTGACACATTCCTGTGCAGCACAGCCCTTGCCCACCCCCAGGTCAGCTCAGAGTTGTGATGTAGCTCACGTACTCTTTTTTTTTTTTTTTTTTTTTTCCCTTTTTTTCTTTTTTCATGACCGGCCACGGATTGCAACCCTCAGTGTTGTGCCCGTACCGGACCGGGACCGGCTACGGGATTGCAACCCTCGGTGTTGCTCCCGCACCTCGCTCAGCCAATGAGCGGCCGGTCTGTATGTGGGATCCGAACCCTCGGTGGGAGCGCCGCCGCGCTTCCCAAGCGGCGCACTGTAGCAGTGCGCCACCGGGCCGGCCCGCTCACGTACTCTTAAATCCCACATATTCTTAAGTCCAAACTACATGGCTAAAAAAACACATGGATACCATGTTTTTGATGATGTATCTGTTGACACCACAGTGAAAGTGTTGTCTGATCCCATCTCCTTTGAAATTTCTCACATAAAGATGGATAGACAGACACCGGCTGACCTTTTAATTCTCCCCTGGGCATATTTGAACTGTAGCGTGGTCAGGTTGGGAAGGTGGTTTGAAAGGCTTTCCTTTAACTCCTCAGCAGTCTTTGCAGATTGCAGGAGTCAGATGCTGGGAGGGACAGCTGTTAGTGTGCAAGTCCGAGCTACGAATCTCATAAATGCATAAAACATTTTGGAAAGAGGTCAATTAAGCCTTAGCTTTAACTTTGAAGGCTGGTCCTGGAAATATCATTTTATCTTTGGTTATGTCATCTGTCAAGGCTTTGCATTAATGATTTTGATTGCTTGGCTTTAAAACAAAACAGAAAAAAAGAAATAGCTGGATAAAGGGCAAGCTTCCCTCAGGTCTTCCACCAAACGTGGTCTAGGAAACTCAGAGAGCCTACATCCAAGACGCTCTTCAGTGTGGAAAATATTTTTAAAGTTTCTTTTTATTGCCAAACAGTTGGAATTATTTTGAATAAAAAAGTATTCAGCCCATTTTTAATGAACGAAAAGTCTTCCATTGGCTGCTCTAAAACTGAGTTCAGTTTTTCAGACAGATCTCAATATGTACCCATTTAAAGACCTGAGTCTTTAACCTACCCTTTATGATATTTTAAGAAAAGTTTTAAAAGTGTTGCTTGTTTTTTCATTTTATTTTGTTTGTTTTTTTTTTTTTTTTTTTTTTTAATGTACTTAGGTTTGTGAGTTTCACATTCAAGGACTTTGTTTTCGGTTTTGGTTTTGGGGGAGGGTTTTTTTGGATACTTACTGGAGCAGAAGCAGCAGGTATGCAGCCCCTTCCCCTTGCCCCACCCCAGGTAAGCCTTAGGGGCTTGACTACCTAGCTCTTGAGTCAAACAAGATTTATGTTTTAATCAGATCAAAACCATCCATTTTCCCTTCGGATTCCTTCTTATGGAAAAAAATATTGCTTCCTTACCAAAATAAGCAAGGCTGACCACATCAGTTATCATTAAAGCATTGATGATCCCCATTTTTGGAAATTGTGAAGCAATTGAAGCAAGGTTTTTTTTTTGGTTTTTTTTTTGGTATCAACATATCCGTTTATTCTTAAACATTTGAAGCACTCTGGTAGATATCTTCATATATATAATAGATAATTAAATATGGAAACCCAAGCTAATCCAGTTTTTTATTGGAACATATTGATTAATACGTATTTGTGGAGTACAGAATTGAATTTCAATTTCAATACATGTACGCAATGTGTAATGATCAAATCAGGGTAATTAGCATATTCATCATTACCAAACATAATCACTTCTTTATGATGAGGACATTCAATCTCCTCTCTTCTAGCCATTTGATAACGTGCAGTGAATTATTGTTAATTATAGATGCCTAACTTGACTGTATACCAATAGATTTTATTTTTCCTGTTTAGCTCTTTTGTTTCCCTTAAGCAACCTCTCTCTATCTTTCCTCCCCCTTCTCCTTTCTCACCTCTAGTAAGAGCAAGATTTAAAGAAGTTTACCGGGCCGGCCCGGTGGCGCACTGGATAGTGCGCCGCTTGGGAAGCGCAGCAGCGCTCCCG